CGCCGCCATCTTGGGGCGGGGCCCGCCGCCATTTTGTGGGTGAGGGGATGGCCTGTGGGGGTTCCTCGCCTCACTGAGCAGCTACTCGGGAGTGTTTGGGCTGGCTTGGAGGGGGTCGGGCTGCTGCCGCCCCCCTTTAGTCGAGCCCGCGCAGCCCCAGTGCAGCCTCCCTGTCTCTGTCAATGGACACTCGCCCCGCTCGCCCCGTGTGAGGGGAATGGGCTCAGACTGGCTCAGCTGCCGCGTCCACCGCTTCCCCAGTTCTCTGAAAGTGTCCCTGTCCCCACACCGTGAGCTGCTGCCCTCAGCCACCATCGCACCGACCCGGGCACGAAATCCCCCCCAAAACTCGCCCCTAAGGCTGTGCCTCAGCAGTGCCGCACAAAAACATCGTGATCATTCCACTCGCCGTGTCCCCTGGTATCATCATCCTGTTTTATTATTTTCTCATGCAGGAAGCCTTCAGTCCACAGCCAGCAAAGCAAGCACGGTAAAATCCCCAGTGCTGCCTCCGTGATTGGAAACTACCTGCCTATGAAATAAATTAAAAAGATCTTGCAAATTAACAAAATAAGGAGAAATAAGTGATTTTTATTCTTTTTTTTCCTCGCTCAGAGAAATGTGAGGTGGCAGCAATGGAGGTGAAGAGCTGTTAGTGTTTAACTGTGTGGCTCCCACAGTCCTCAGGCTCTGATCAGAGTGTTTATGGAGCGATTTGTTAATTACAGGTTTATTAATTAATTTTATTAGTGATTTTTAATGCATTTGGGGTAGGTGCCTGTACCCAGTGCTCCTGTGTGGCATGGAGGGTTGATTCTGAATGGGGTCTGCACTGGAGAAAAAAAACTGGGAAGAGCTGGATGGGACACAGTCCAAACCTTTCCCAGCCCAAAACCCACAAAAAAAATAGATCATTAACATAAAAAGCCAGTTGGAAATTAATGTTCAAGTAAAGGGAATAAATCTGCAGCAGAGCAGATAAGCAGGAGGCTCTGGCCCGAGGAGCAGCTGCCTGCTGAGGGAGATAACAAGGTCACTGCCTCACAAAACAGACCCTGATTCTTCCTCCTCCTCTCCTTTCATTCCCGCTCCCAGCCAAGCGAGCCCTTGACAAAGAGGGAATGCTGAACGTCCCTGTAGAGCGGGAGTGAGGCAGGCAGATAAGGCAGCTGCAGCTAGAGAATCCCCCACATGTGGATTTTGGGAAGGGTTTGCTCCTTAGTACTGATTAATCCATCCCGCAGTGCCCGTGGGTGCTGGGCAGAGGGAACCAGGTGGATAAGGGCTTGGCATCCCATAACCCATCCCCCAAATCTCCTGTCTCCGCTGGAACTGGGCTTTGCCAGGTGCTGCTGTGCTGGCACAGGAGACCCCAGTCCTGTTCTTCCAAGGGACACAGTTTGGCTGGGATCCCCTTGTCCTGAGTTGGCAGCAGTGTTCACTGCACTGATCCATAGCCAGCAGCCAAGATGACACCCCCATTTTCCCATAGACATATCTCAACTATTTCTAAAGAGTTTTCATTTTCCATTAATTTCTCTTTACCCCCTGAAAGCAGCAGGGATTTTGCTCCGAAGCACTCTGCAGCCAAGGCACGACTCCAAAACCTCCTTATCCTGTGCTGGGCACTGCATGCAGTTACGATAACCCCCTGCCCAACGCTTCCATTGCCCCCAGCTGCCCGCACCATGGTTTCCCCTGACTCCTGACCAGAGTATCCAGTGTGGATTGTTTTATTTCCTTGTGCTGTCCCACAGGCAGGCAGCACAGTGCAGTGCTTGGCTCTGTGGGTGCAGGGAGGGAGCAACCCCCGTGCTTGTTTGGGTGGTTTTTTTTCAGATGAATCACAGCCCCACAGGATGCTGAGCCCGGCATTAATAACTCTGACAGCTCCTCAGCAGCGGGTTTGATAATGAAGGTTTTATTCCAACGAGCTTGGGACAAACCCATCTCTCCTGATGGATGAGGCGTTGCAGTGGGGAGTGATGGTGGTGGTCTGGGCACCCCTCAGCTGCTCTGGCTCCATGGGAGTCGCTGCAGGATGTGGCTGGTGGTCACGGTGTCCCTGCGTGGCTGAATTAGAGGTCACCAGCTCCCCCCCCACATCCTCATCTGCTTTAATCCATAACCAAGAGATGGTGGGTTTAAATGTTTAACCCTCATGCCAGATCTGGAGACCCCCATCCACAGGGGTCAAGGAGCAGCAAGTGGGGACAGGTCAGGGGGAGCCTGCAGCCCACCAGTGAGCCCGGAATGAGTGAATATTCCTGCCTCAATACCTGGCTGGTGGGGTGGGAGGCATTGGGATCAGTGGTCCAGCTGGCCAGTGGTGGTCCCCAAGCCCCTGGGGCTGTCAGACACCTGTACCTGCAGCTTCTTGGGCAGCAGCTCCTCGCAGGGAGGCGGCAGTGGCCGCTTCAGCCCCTTGGTGGAGGATCCCGATGTGTTTTCTCCCGCCTCATGCCGGGGTTCCGGGGGCTGGTATCCCGTCTGGTTGGGATCCAGGGGGTCCCGGGAGAGCAGGATGCAGATGGAGGGGACATTCTTGTGGACAGTCAGGTTTTGTGCGGGGCCGTTGGGCAGCGGGTCCTGGTTCTCCCAGACCTCCAGCACGGTTTTGTAGCGTACCTTGGTGACCTGGTGGAGCCCTCCCAGCTTGCGCTTCATGATCTCCACGCAGGTGATGGTCTTGGTGACCGCCCTGCCGCAGCCGCTGAACACGATCTGCCGCCTGCCCTTCAGCTCCATCTGGGCCATGGCAAAGTTCATCAGGTTCCTGATCTTGCTGCCCTCCTTCACTTTCATCTCCACCACGTCCGGGGGCAGGTCTGGGAAGGGCAACGGCATCTCCTCCTCCGAGGTCCTCACCTTTCGGAAGTTCTCCATTCTGGACTGGACAGCGGGCTTGGCTCTCCCTCCTTCGGCAGCCATCCTTCACCTCTTCCCGGTGGATCCACACAGGCTCCTAGTCCTCAGTGACCATAGGAGGGCTGACTTTGTTGCCCTCCAGCCCAACCCTGTGTCCTGCAACCACCAGCCCCTTCCCCTTGGCTCTCCGGGGGCTGGCAGTGGGCTTGGTGGCAGTGCCAGAGGCTGTCTCCTGTGGGAGACAGGGCTGCAGGATCCCCTGGCTGCTCCCAGTTGCTCCCAGCAGGGATAACAGGCAGCTCCAGCTCTCGGTGATGCTTGGGCTCCTCCGCTCCCACTGCAGCACTCGCTTCTGCTGCTCTTTGCTTCATTCTGGACTTCAGCAGCCCCCAGAGCTGTTCTGTGTAATTAGCAGATCCTCCCCCTCTCCCTCCCCTTCCTCCCCTCCTTCTCCTCCTCCTCCCCTGCTCAGCCGCCCATCCCAGCACCCAGCGCCTTCCTTCATCCCTGCCAGGCAAAGGGGAGGGCAGGGAACCCAGGTCTCTGTCCCGGAACAGAGAAGGGAAGGAGGGGAGGGTGGAAGGCAGAGAGAGAAGCTCACTCTTGCCTTCATAATGTTCCCAAAGTCCTGCCCCCTTAAAGAGAACCTGGTCCCTTCTCTCGGCGCTCGCTCCTCTCAAAGACACCCGCTGCTAGCTGCAAATGTCACCCTGCCTGCCTGCCCTGCAGCATTCCCAGAGGGATGCAGAATCCCAGCCACGCTGTGTCCAAGGATGGCACAAAGATGCGCCAGGTACTTCGGGAAGTACTTTGGAGTCTGAGCTCGACCCTTATTAGCCATGAGAGAAGCCAGTGGAAGCCGCAGCTACAGGAGAAAGCCTGGCAGATGGCATCGCAGGCGAGCATGCACTGAGTGTGCCAGGGCTCTGCTCCCCCCAACACCCCGCATCCTCAGCCTCGGCTCTGCCGGCAGGAAAACCTCTCAATTCCCAAAGCTCCGAGGAGCAGATGCCGTGGCAGAGGTGGTTTTCACGGGTAATTTCTCTCTCTCTTCCCCGCTCCTCCTCCTTCCCTATGCCTCCCTCTCCCTGCTGCTCTTCCAGTCCCTGTCCCTCACTCATCTCCAGTTTCCCAACGTGGAGCTGCCCACTGTGGGCTCATCGTTACATGGACTGGCAACAAATCCCAGAAAATCCCTGTTGCAGGCCAGGAGATGTCCCCTTCCTGCCCCCAATCCCTTCCCGGAGCAGAGGCGACGTCCCTGCCCCAGGCTGGCCCTCTGCCCGCCCCTGTCACCTGCCTGTCCCCTCCCGCCCCGCTGGCCGGGGGATCATTGCACAGTGGAAAGACATGTGAGTATTGACTTGCAGTCAAATCTTACCGGCCTCTGGAGGCCCCTGGATTGGTTTCACTCCGAGCAGGGCTTGAAAAAAAAATAATAATAAACAAACTAACTAACTAACTAACAAACAAACCGATCCCATGTCCGTGGTGGTGAAGGCAGGATGTGGCTGTCGTCTCCTATCCGGGGAGAATCCCACATCCCTGTGGTCCCCAAAGCAGCTTTCTGTGGGGACCACTGCCTACATGGGGGTGGGTGCGGGACACCCCCTGATCCAATCACTGGGTTGGGGTCTGGGCGTGTCTGTGGGCAGTGGGATGGGATGGGATCCTCCATCCACAAGCACGGTGCTGGAAAGCCCCTGGAGATGCAGAGCATTGTTTCCCAATCCATCTAACCCTCCCTGAGACTCCTTGGGCACAGAGAGGGAAACTGAGGCAGGGAAAGCAACGCATCCAGGCTCATCCCCAGCACCAGATTCAGGCTTCCTGCATTCCCAAGTCCCTTCTGGTACTCTGCAGTAGTGAGCAAACCTATTCCCTGTGCTCCCGCCATGGATTCCTCAGTGCTATGAGACAAAACAATGACATTTCTCCATCTTTCCATTTCACAGCACTTTGTGGAATCCTTGGAGAAGGCACTTGGCTCCTTCCTGGGGTAGGCAGGGATGGATTAAGCCCCTCAGAGAAATTCCTGCCTTCAAAATGCCCTAAACCCCTGGGGAAATAATCGGAAAGGATTTTAGTGCCTGTGAAATCCCTCAGGGTCATTATCCAGGTAGCTTGGGAGAGTTACATGGACACAGAGGGCTGACAGCTCCAGGGCTCTGGGCAAGCCCTGGTGCTGGCTGAACCATCCAGCCCTTCTTTCCTGGCCCAGAACCAGCTCCTGCCTCCTGCAGCCCATTTTCCATGGCGTCCTGGCGCTTCTCCACCATCGGATGATGGAAGCAGCAGCAGCTTCTTCCCCCACCCCATCTCTCATTGCTACTTAATGAACTCTGCTTATCACAGCCTCCGAAATGGAGGTGGGAGAGGTGCAATCACAGAAAGGCTTCCAGAGGGTGCATTCGCCTCAAGGCCAAGGCTGTGCTGGGAGCAGGGGGGGCATTAATGACAGGGGCTTATTTTCCCTCTGCAGCGCTTAAAATGTAAATGAACTTCATTATTAGCAACTCCGTTGCTAATTACCATCTGAAGCTATTCATTAGCCTGTCAGCTTATTTGTTGGAGGACAACAGAGTGGATGGGTTACTCCAAGCCATGGAATAGCTGAAATGAGCTCAGCGGGGTGGGAGAGGAAAAGCAGGGATGGGGGGACAAAGGCACAGACAGTTCCAGCCATGGGGGATCAGCGAAAGAAAAGCTGGAAAAGAGGATGGGGACTCCTTCAAAATGGAGAAGCAAATGGGAAAGGCAGGAGTGATGAAAAAATAAAAGTAAAGGAATTACACACTGAGTATTGTCTGTCTGTCCTTCCTGAGCAGCCACTCTGGTTACCAAAGTGGGACCCAGGGAGTGGTTTCTTCTTCCCTTTTCCCATTACAGTTTCTCTCTGAGCATTCCACTGTCCCATGCCGGAGGAGTTCCAAATACTTGTGGGATCCTCTTGCCTGGTCCCAACCCCACAGGAGGTGTGAGCTTGTAAGAGCTATTTGGAAGAGCAGCCCAGAGGAGAGCTGGGGGTGGCAAGAATGGAGAGGGCTGCTGGACACAGCATGGAACGCAGCCAAACATGGAAAAGTGGGGAAAATCCCCCAGAAACATATTCTTAACAGAGATCAGGGGAGCTGGAGAGGAGCAGTAACCCGAGCCCCTGTCCTCCACCTGCCCTCTCCATATTTTCTTTCATCCAAGGTGGCCCTGCTCAGGAACAGGACGGAAAGTGGGAGCATCCGATACAAGGAAGGTCTCGGTGCCATTGCCCATCTCTGCGTCACATCGGCCCGGCTCAGGTCTCAGCCTCTCATCACATTGCACTCGGCAGCGGGCTGATGCCAGGGCTGATTGTAACCCTGGCAAAAGGGGTGCAGAGGGACCCCCAGGATGCCACAGCCACAGGGATCCCCTGCCCCCATCCCAACCAGGGTTCTGGAGCTGCTGCTTCCCAGGAGCAGCTCCCTGAGGATGTAGCCCAGGGTGCAGGGGCTGTGTCAAGATGCCAGAGGAACCCTCAGAGCATCCTAGGGTTGCACCAGCTCTCTGCTGAGTTCTTATTCCTATCGTAAGCAGAAAATTACAGAGCTCAAGATAATCCTCATTTTGAATAGCCCAACAGTGAAAGAAAAGGGAAAAATCCCTTTCATAAGACAAATCCCTTTGCAGAGCTCCAGCATGATAAGCAGAGGGATGTTTTAAGGACCTTGAGGGTATTAATAAATGGGAATGTTCCTCACCTCCCCAGTCCCACCTGGGACCCCAACCCACCCCCTGCCTGTGTCCCAGGAACTCTTTTAAGCTCAACCCAGGGGTCTCAGTCCTAGTCTCAGCTATGTCAGGACTGGTCTCTGCGTCAGCTGCAGCTGGTCTGGACTCCAGCCTACAGACTGATCCTAAACTGAACCTGTGGATTTATTTCCTTGTTTTTGAACCTGTTTGCCTGCTGGGAATTTGCTGGTTGATCCGGCCTTTTCTTTGGACCTGCCCATCCTCTCCAGCCTGCCCTGCTTAGGAAGTGTGGGATGGGCAGGGAGGCTCTTCCCCCTGTTATCTCTTGGCTCTGTAGGCATTCCCTGTGAAGGACAGGAGCACACATCCATCACATCCATTTGATTTCTGAATATCCCTGACTGTAAAACCTGCAGGCAGACAGGAATGTGGTACTGCTGAAGGCAAGGATCAGCTCTGTAGGTGACCACTCCCAAAGCCTCAGTGGGATGGGAAGGTGCTGGGGCAGCAGAGATGCATGTGGGGAGGAAATTTAGGTCAGAGAAAGCTGGAGAGATGAGAAATAAGGGACAAGAAATCAGCCCCAAATCTCCAGCGTACTCAGTGCCCACAGGCAGAGCCAGAGCAGCTCTCCAAGGCGCTGAGCATCCCCAGTGCTTGGCAGGAGTGGGAATCCACGACCCCATCACCTCCTCCCTTTCCTTGCCTGCTGCTGGGCAGGGCATGGAGCTAGATGTGCAGGGCTCCCTGCTCTCTGTGGGGAATAGCTCAGAGTCCAAGACCCAGAAAGGGGTCAGAGTGGACAGTTGGGCCACCTGCCATGGGGTCATCTGTGGCACACTGGTTTTCCTGCTTCCCTCTATTTTACCATCTGTGAAACAGGCATTTTCCCTGTTTCTGCCAGGGTTCCTTCCTTGCATCCCCACAGCAACGCTGTTCCCCTGCTGAAGGGGTTTGGCCACCAGGGCTCACTGGAGTAAAGAGATTTTGCTGCTTCCTTGCCCAGCTGTTCTCATCTTCCTCTGGTGGGATGTTGTTCTTGCTGCCCTACCATGACCCTCAAGGCTGGACCCTGGGAAGGGAGGATGACTTAGTTATCAAATAAAGCCATTTTCACAACACTTCACTGATATTCTCACAAACACCAAGGCAGGAGGTCCAAGTGGTGTGCACAGAACTCTGTGTGATGACACTGAGAACAAGGCACACAGCCTATGCAGATCTCAGGCTGATTTGGGATTTATATTCCTTTTAGGAGCTTTTGAACCCTGTCCCGTCTGTGAATCAGTCCAATCCCTTCCCCTGCCTTCTAAATCCCAACCTTGGCATTGCTGGCAAAAGCAATCGACATTTCCTCTGCCCTTCATGCAAGCCATTAATTAATCACTGCTTCCAGAATGAAACACATCAGGGCGTGTACATGGAGTCCCCCAGACCTGGCCCTGCTTGTGTGACCTGCTGGCTTACCATTGCCTCCTGGATACAGGGAGCCTGTGTATCCTGCTAGGGGCTGTCCCCCAGGGCCCCTGCCCTACCAAAGGTGGTCTTCTACCCACATAGTACTTGCCATGCCTCGAGTAGGAGACAATTCACCCCTGCTCTACAGAACCCCTACTCCTGTAAAGCCCCCCAAGCCCCATGGAGCACTGCCAGCCCCATGGAGCCCCGCAGTCCCTACAGAGCACTCCCAGCCCTGTGGAGCCCCTACTCCTGTAAAGCCCCGCAAGCCCCATGGAGCACTGCCAGCCCCATGGAGCCCCGCAGTCCCTACAGAGCACGCCCAGCACTGTGGAGCCCCTACTCCTGTAAAGCCCCGCAAGCCCTATGGAGCACTGCCAGCCCCATGGAGCCCCGCAGTCCCTACAGAGCACGCACAGCCCTACAGAGCCCCAAGTAAAGGCCCCGCCCCTTCTCCTCGGCCCCGCCCCTCCATCTGGCGGCATCAGGACCCTGGACAGCGGCG